TCTCTTCAGTCCCCTTCTTCCTCTTTGAGAGACTTTTGAGTTTACATTGGGCCCACGATTATAATCCAAAATAATCTCTTTTGAGGTCAGCTGATCAGTATCTTTAATTCCATCAGCAACCTCAATTCCCCTTTGCCATGTAACCTATTCACAGGTTAGGGGATCAGGACATGGGCATCTTTCAGAGACATTATCCTGCAAACCACTGTGCCCTTCATGTCCCAGTGCTATTCACAGGATCAAGGTAAGGCTAGATCCAGCTGAACACATAGAAAGGGACCACTTATAGGATGTGTGTCCTCATTCATTAGTAAACAATATCATAATAATGTATAAAACTTTATAGGAAGTTAGGGCTGGGGATTTAGCTCAGTGGTTCCAGTGCTTGCCTCGCAAGTGCAAGGTGCCGAGTTTGATCCCAGGTAACAACAACAACAAAAAAAACTTTATAGGAAGTTAATAAATTGTTACTAAAAGGGTGTAAAAAGCTAAATCCACACCTACCATAATAGGAAGTATAAGTCACTTATTATAACAGAAAGTCTAGGAAATATTGTAGTAAATACCAAGAAAAACAACTAATACAGTTGAAACTTCTCTTGGGGAAAAAGCCACTACATTGGAGAAGATGTGAAGCAAAGAAATTTTCATTTTCTTTAGCTTTATAATCCTTTTTGACTTCTTGAACTATGTCCATTGTTTTTTTGTTTTGTTTTGTTGGCTACCAGGGATCAAATTCAGGGATGAACCTTGTGCTTGCAAGTGCTTGCGAGTGCGGTGCCACTGAGCTAAATCCCCCGCCCTGTCCATTGTTTTTTATATAGACAAATTTTTTACAAATTCAAAGCCCAGCATGGTAGCATATGCCTCTAACCACAAGGCTGAGGCAGGAGGATTGCAAGTTCAAACCCAGTCTGAGCAACTTATGACACTATCTCAAAAATTATTTTGGTACTGGAGCTTGAACCCAACCCAGGACCTTCAGACTGACCTATATCCCCACTTTTTTTTTTTTTCTTGTGAGACAAGGTCTCACTCTGTAGTTCAGGCTGGCCTTGAACTCACTATGTAGCCCAGGCTGGCAAACTACTGACGATCCTTCTGCCTCAGTCTCCCAAGTGCTGAGATTATAGGTGTGTGCCATTACACCTGGCTCTCAAAATTTTTAAAAAAGTAAAAAATGGGCTGGGGATGTAGCTCAGTGTAAAGACCCTGGGTTTAATTCCCAGTACCATAAAAAAAATTCAATAAATGAAAAATAAAATCCCCATAAAATAGTAATCACCCCACTAGTTCTAAATTTGCATCATTGGTTCTAAAAGTTTTTCTAACTATAAAATTAACAGTAACTCATTGTAAAGCCTTTAGATAGTATAAAATTGTTGAAAGTACAAAATAAAAATCTTGTATACCATCCTCCCATGTAATCAGTGATCATTTTTGTGTACTTATGCTCACATAACTGGGTATTTTTTAAAAAATGAGATCACAGTTTGTAACCCGAATTTTTTTTTTTTTTTTTTAATAAGGTCTGTTTAGTTCAGGGCAGCCTTGAACTCACTATGTAGCCCAGGCTGGCAGCAATCCTCCTGCTTCAGCCTCCTGAGTGCTGGGATTACAGGCATGTGCCACTATGCCTGGCTGTCACCTGTGTTTATCACTAACATGTTAGTATATTTCTAGGTCAATTTATATAACTGTACATTGTATGTAATTATACAGAATTCCATCATTTGATTACACCATTAACTGTAATAATTTAAATTCAGGAGGGAAGAGATGCTCTATTGTATTTGTCTTTCATTACAGAGATTTGGGTGGTATTACCTAACATCTGCAAACATAAACAAACATTTGCAGTGCTGGATGGAACCCAGGACCTCATGCATACTGGTACTAGGCAGGTGCTCTACCACTGAACTACATTCCCATCCCCTAAAGCAGTGGTGGTGAACCTATGACACTGTGCCACGGTGGGCTGTATCACTGAAAGCTCTAAAAGGTTTGCCATCACTGCCCTAAAGTTTAAACTAATAAAGGAAAAAAAATAAAGGAAACCTTTATACTGATTTATTTTTCTATAAAGAACATATTTATTTCATTTGTATTGTATTTGAAATAAAAGGCACTAAAATCATATATTTTTGTGAAGAGGGATAGGGAGAACTGTAAGAATAAAAAAAAATCAGTCAAAATGTTCCTATATATCTTCCAGTGCCTAAACCACAAAACAGCTGTTTCATATAGTCCAGTTTTAATAAATCTTGCAAACAGCCTTCATGCTCTGAAACATCTAAAAAAAAAAATCTGTATTTCAGACAAAAGCAGGCTATCTAAACTCTTCCCTGCAACCAAGTGCCACCCCGTCATTCTTGATGGAGCCTTGGATTCTCTGGTCTGCTCCACAGGGAAGAATAGTTTCCTATCAGCAGAGCCAAAATCTAGCACAGCAATGCATTTCACAAACTCATTCACACAAACACATTAACTGAATGTCTACTGAGTGCAAAGCACTATACAGACTGAGTATCCATAACCCAAAAATCCAAGCTCTGAAACTTGATTGCCCGTATGATACCAGAAACAGATGGGTCATGGTCAAAGCGCAGATGCACAATATAGTTGATTTAGCACCTCTGAAGAGGGAAAACCCTCTCCCAGCCTCCTTACCTATAATACACAAACTTTGTTTCATGTATATATGTTAAAGTAGTACATAAAATTACCTTGAGGCTAGGTGTATAAAACAAATGAATTTTGTGTTTAGATTTGGGTCCCACCCCCAAGATATCTCATTATGTATATGCAAATATTCCAAAATCCGAAAAACCTGAAATCTGAAACACTTTGGTCCTAAGCATTTCAGATAAGAGAAATGTCACCTGCACTGTGCTTTAGAAGTTAGAGGCTGTTAACACGTGACTGCTATGAGTAGTGTTAGCCTAGTGAGAGAAACAGCACAGGTGTGGCACAGAATGACACAACAGGAGGGAGAGTCCTGGCAATGTTCTGCAATTACAAATATTTTCAAATATCACAAGATATTTAGAAATATATGGGTAGGTGGGCTACGGGTGTAGGTCAGCAGTACAGCACTTGCCTAGCATCTGTGAGGCCTGGGGTTCCATTTCCAGCACCACAAAAGCAAAAAGAAACGAACAGAAACGTCTAAAGAGAAAAAAAAATGTATGGCAAAAATGAAGTGCTGGATTTTCTTTTTCTGTTTCCATTTGAATATCTGGACTCTGAAAGTAGTTATTTCTACTACTCATTTGCCACCAAGTCTTGGTCACATGCCAGGCTCTCCTATGTATTTCTCTTTTCCTCTCCCCTTCCTTCTTCCCCACTCTTCTATTTTGCTCCCTGTCTTTTTGTGGTGTTGGGGATCGAACCTAGGCTCCCCACTGAGCTATATCCCCAGCCCTTTAATTCTTCATATAAGAATATATTAGTGCCTATTTTAGTTGAAAGACTGAGAGCAGGCATTTTTGTGTCTCCTACTTTCCTAGTGTCTCACGCAAAGAACAGACACTAAAAATATTTTTCAAAATGAACAAACTGAGCCAGCTACTGGAGGGCTCTAAAATAGCCTGTCTTGCTGTATCAGATCACAGGTGTGACACACAGAAGCACAGCCCAAGTTCCACCTGATATGACCTGACTGTAGTCATGGATATTTGTTCCTTTTCATTCCACAGTAATGAAAAAGCTTAGCATGGTAGAAACACAGAAATGTGCAAAAGAGGAAAAACAGGTATTCATAAGCAAAGTCACTCATATTAAGAAAGTCAGGGTTTTATTTAGCATTATATCTGAGGTTCTAATGAGAACAAAAGAAGAAATCAAAGATGGATCCCACATTCAATTTTAAGGAGGCTCAGGAAAATGAAAGCACAAAGCCTGTAACCAATCTTCAAAGTATGAAATGTCACATGTTTATAACACACACAATATATGTACTATGGGGACTTCCTAGCAAACGAAGATGGTCTCAATACAGTAACTACAGTCTTTCTAGTATGAAGACTCCAATCCATGTTGTTTTGCTCTTTTTCTCAATTCCAACCTAAAATTCTAGGGACAAAATTAATAATCTGGAAAGATTCTGGGGGATAAAAAGACTGAGAGGATATGATGTCAGCCCCGAGAAACAGGTAAATTGGCCTAGTGTTCAAGAAACATAATGCTACCAAAAGCCTGGAAGACACAGAATTTAATCTTAGACTTGGTCAAGGAGACAATCTCTTTTAGCTACAATTTCATGATTACATAGAAAGTCAATTCTTCAGACAGTAAGAAGAGGCCAAAATAATTATTAGGATTTTTAGAAACAAAAAAAAGAGGTACCAGAGTTAATAAAATGAAT